ACAGATTTCCTCATGGAGTTTTCATTACATTTATCTAAAGTCAGGGAAATGGTTCCAATTGTTTTTCCACCATTCATTTTTCCCATGGGGAATTTTAGAAACACTTATTATGGCATGACGTTTTGATAACCATGTAAATCTCTCTCATACAATATTACTTTTATCAATATATTCGGCTCTATTTACTCTCAGATTCGAGCTGGAAGTTTTTCCCCCTTTAAACAGGTTTTAACATGATCCTAAGACCTTTTCTGAGATTCTTTGTGGATACACTGATCTTGTACAGTGCATTCGGAAAGTATTCAGACCCCTTGACTTTTTCCACATTTTGTTATGTTACAGCCTTATTCTAAAATTGATTAAATTGTTTTTTTTCCCCTCAATCTACACACAATACCCCATAATGACAAAGCAAAAACAGGTTTTTAGAAATTGTAGCAAATTTATTAAAAAAAATAAACTGAAATTACATTTACATAAATATTCAGACCCTTTACTCAGTACTTTGTTGAAGCACCTTTGGCAGCGATTACAGTCTTCTTGGGTATGATTCTACAAGCTTGGAAAACCTGTATTTGGGGAGTTTCTTCCTTTCTTCTCTGCAGATCCACTTAAGCTCTGTCAGGTTGGGTGGGGAGCGTCACTGCACAGCTATTTTCAGGTCTCTCCAGAGATGTTCGATCGGGTTCAAGTCCGGGCTCTGGCTGGGCCACTCAAGTACATACAGAGACTTATCCCGAAATTACTCCTGTGTTGTCTTGGCTGTGTGCTTAGGGTTGTTGTCCTGTTGGAAGTTGAACCTTCGCCCCAGTCTGAGGTCCTGAGCACTCTGGAGCAGGTTTTCATCAAGGATCTCTCTGTACTTTGCTCCGTTCATCTTTCCCTCAATCCTGACCAGTCTCCCAGTCCCTGCCACTGAAAAACATCCTCACAGCATGATGCTGCCACCACCATGCTTCACCGTAGGGATGGTGCCTGGTTTCTTCCAGATGTGACGGTTGGTATTCAGGCCAAAGAGTTCAATCTTGGTTTCATCAGACCAGAGAATCTTGTTTCTCATGGTCTGAGAGTCCTTTAGGTGCCTTTTGGCAAACTCCAAGCGGGCTGTCATGTGCCTTTTACTGAGGAGTGGTTTCCATCTGGCCACTCTACCATAAAGGCATGATTGGTGGAGTGCTGCATAAATGGTTGTCCTTCTGGAAGGGTCTCCCATCTCAACAGAGGAACTCTGGAGCTCTGTCAGAGTAACCATCGGGTTCTTGGTCACCTCCCTGACCAAGGCCCTTCTCCCTGATTGCTCAGTTTGGCCGGGCAGCCAGCTCTAGGAAGAGTCTTGGTGGTTCCAAACTTCTTCCATTTAAGAATGATGGAGGCCACTGTGTTCTTGGGGACCTTCAATGCTGCAGACATTTCTTGGTACCCTTCCCAGATCTTTGCCCCGACACAATCCTGTCTCTGAGCTCTACGGACAATTCCTTCGACCTCATGGCTTGTTTTTGCTCCGACATGCACTGTCAATTGTGGGACCTTATATAGACAGGTGTGTGCCTTTCCAAATAATGTCCAATCAGTTGAATGTACCACAGGTGGACTCCAATCAAGTTGTAGAAACATCTCAAGGATGATCAATGGAAACAGGATGCACCTGAGCTCAATTTCGAGTCTCATAGAAAAGGGTCTGAATACTTATGTAAATAAGGTATTCCTGTTTTTTATTTTCAATACAAAAATAAAACCTGTTTTAGCTTTGTCATTATAGGTTATTGTGTAGATTGATGAGGACATTTTTATCCATTTTAGAATAAGGCTGTAACTTAACAAAATCTGGAAAAGGGAAGGGGTCTGAACACTTTCCAAATGCACTGTATATTATTTAGGCTTAGGAACGTATTTATGAATCGACCTACTTTTGTAGAGCCTTTACACATACAGGGGCCAATTCCGACCCGAATTAAGTGTGTGTAAATGGAACTTAATTCCTTTTTTATGCACTTTTCCCTCTATGGGTATTCTGAACTTGAATTTAAGAATGGGCCCGATTCAGACTTAGGAAATGTATGACTTTCCTACACACTCCTCAGTAGTTGGTATTCAGACTTACCTTAAGGGCTTTGCAGGCGTGGTTCCCTTGCACGCTGAATACATTTAATTCAACCGCTGAAAACCCTCCCACTTGCTGGCCAACAGATTTTCTCGTGCCGTTTTCATTCAATAGGGTTTTCATTACATTTAACTAAAGCCATTCCCTTTAAATTTGGTGAAGCTTTAAATTGAATTTTCTTGACAGACTCATTAAAATATATTATTTGGGGTTAGGAAAGTATTTATTAATAGTAATAAAAACAGGTTTGGAGAGCCTTGACGCACTAAATATATTGGTGAATCAAAAATAGTGGTTTGATTCATCCTGAAAGTTGGCATATGCAATTGTTCTATCCATGAACTATTGGAAGGTGAGTACAATAGGGGTTGAACAGTAGTCCTATAAATCTACCCTAATAATCATGGAACTGTGATGACACCATTGCGCCAGGTAGGCTTGGGCGGTATCCAGATTTTCATACTGTCATACTGTTCTTCTGCCATCCCGGTATTTACGGTATTACCCGCATAGCACAGCACAAAAAAAGCCCATTGGGCCTCTGTTACCAAAATGCTAACTGAATTAGCACAAGTAATAGCGAAATCCCACAGACGCTGTTAACTAAATTCTAACGTGCGAAACTGAACATAGACTAATTGCAAAGACAGGCAAATCCAGCTCATAAAGTTATACAAGCATAGCTAGTAGCTACCGAATGTCATTTTCAGTGAGTGTGGACATTTACAAGCGAAAGTAAACAATATAAATTGTGTGAGGGATTCTGAGAGGATTCATGTGAGTAGGCAGAGACTAATAGAGAGTGATGGGAAGAATATGTGCTTCAGTAAAGTAGGCATTCATAGCTATGGTTGTCAATTGTACTGCAGAAATGGATCGAAAGTCACAGAAAATAGAGGTTGTGGTGGCAGCGGCAGAGCAATACATGGGATTGCGAGGTTTTACTGCAGAACATTTGCAGGGGGTGTTGAGTGGTAGTGTTCTGTCCTCCCAGACCATTGGTCTGGAGTAGGATTAGATAGCGTAAATAGTGGAATGGGGTGGTGTTTCTTTTTTTTTTAGAGAGGGCTAATAGTTGGCAGGGTAATTTTTCCTTTCCCCCAATTTTATAGAACCGTATCACAAATAATTGTATGTAGGTAGGCCGTGAATGGCCTCACGCTCCAGTACAGTAGGTGGCGGTGTATGCACCATAAATTGGATGCGATCCGCCAACACAATCCTAAAGAAGAAGAGAAATTGAACAATGTTGTGATGCATGCTTTTCTGAAGGAAGAGCAGCATTTGTACACGGAGCACAGAGAAGGGAAAAAATATTTAGTAGGAAGCACAGGGGGAAAATGGCAGCTGTACAGATAAGAGCTCTTTGACTTCTAAAGCATGTCAGAAAGCCGTTATAAGATATCTGATGGCAAACATTTAGTAGTGAATTGCATACAAGTGTAACTTCATCACCTCATATGCGCTACACAACAGACTTGCTCCAGCTTTCTCTTGTTGTGCTCTTTACAAGGAACAAGTGACTGGCTCAACTGTTCTGGGGAACTACGGTAAGCTTCATAATGTAAAATTATGTGACAGGTGAAATGAAGAACATAATCTGCTTTATTTCCCAAGGTATTGCACAAGTTGACTGCAGCACAGGAGGTTGGTGGCACCTTAATTGGGGAGGACGGGCACGTGGTAATGGCTGGAGCGGAATATGTGGAAAGGTATCAACAACATCAAACACATCATGAGCAGACCTCCCCTCAGCAGCCGCCACTGGACTGCAGGTATTAACATTAACTTAAAAAGTAACTACAAATATTCAAATGTATTAAAACATTTCAAAGAAATAGTTTTGATGGTTTTAAACAATCCTGTGGCTTTTTCCAAAAAGCCCAGTATATGGTATACCCCCAAAGCCAAGTGCCAGGCTCCAGGTTTAAACTGCTAAGTATGGACTGCGTTCCATAATGATTCAAATAGGCCACATGTCCCAAATTGTTGCACAACTTGTAATACGTTAGCCTAATATGATCCACTATTGCTAGCGATCCTCAGGAACAACCACACAAACGTGAGAGAACAAAGGTAAACTAACGATGTAAAGGAATGTTACGAATTGCAAGGAAACTAACACAAAGTGACAGTTATAAATGTATGTGGGTCTAACTGACGGTGGCTACCAATAGTGGCTAATATTTAACACTTCAAATTGTAAAAAAAAAAATATACAGTGGAAAGTCTGGCCATATAATTAAACCAGTCTAGAAATCATAAATCAACTCTCTAGGTTTGGCACTATACTGTCATGTGTGCATGGCTACAGAAGCCTATAGCTTGGGTCTCCAAATTTCATCCCTTTAAGTTAGAAGGCCAGCATTTCATAAATTTCACTATGGAAAAGGTGATATGTTGATATGCTTCAGTTTGCTGCCATATGACTGGTTTCACGTCTCCAGTGATCAAAAGGTAAAATAGATCTAAAAGAATTGTCATTTATATTTACAATCCCCTTGTCCAAACAGATTACTCATTTACCTAGCTCTTATCAAGTTGTGAATTACAGTGCGTGGAGAATGGTGTTATGTCGGGAAAAAATTGATGTTTTTCAATTTGGAACCTTCAGGTTGCTCGACATTCATTGTTCCTTGCGCATAAAGGTGGTGGAATTATGAGGGGAATTAGGTCAAAGTCAGAATAAGCATATCTGTAAACACACCTCTATTTCTGCGATCTCCACCCCAAACAAATACCTGGCTGGCACATGCTTTTCCCCATGCTTATGTTTAAGGTCAGAATGCTGTAAAATTAAGTTCCATTTAGGAATTCCCCCCTATGTAAATAGTTAATGAATTAAATAATGTAGTGTAATGTATTTTTTCTTCATAAATAACACACCAAAATACAAACAAACAATAAAGGGATTTATTCATCATCACTGCCAGCACTATTATCATCATCACAATCATTTCCATCAATGATAGGGTCTGCTCTGTGTGTATTAAGACACCAAATGTGCACCAATTCATTTTTCCTCAGGTTTGAAGGTCTGTTGTAACAAAAACATAGAAAAAAATGATATGTGTGCATATAATATTTATATAAAAAACTAAAACAAACCGTTTACATTATCAGACAAAAAAGCTCTGCATTCCCCTGTGCTCATTAATATTGATTAGGGTTTCATTTTAAGAACCCGCCCTGATTTAACGCTTTCTTCTAGGCAGAAATTAAATGAGGCTGTGTACAAACATCAATATTTTTGAGCACAGGGATACCTTAATGATGAAGGGCCACACCCCATTGGTCTGATGAGTCTTTACTTTCTTTCACTGCGATTGACTGGTCACACTTTTGCCCCTTCTCTCTCGGTCCTGTGATACGTACCCTCCAAGAAACCATGGTGACGGTTGTGATCAGCGTCAGGAATGTTTGGGAATTTTCTTAAAACTGCGTAAGTCAAAAACATGTATGTCAGGTAAAATGAAAACTTCTAGGTGAAAAGACAGACAGACAAAAAAAAACAGACACTCACGTTTTTGAGGAACTCCTCAGCGACGATCCGGGCCCTGGCGTTGACAGACAGCTTCATCTCACTGATCTCCTTGTCGATCTCTTCCATGAAGTGGATGACGAAGTCCACCAGCTTGTGCTTGTACATCTGCTCTGTGTGGAAGTTGGTGATGAGGAAACTGATGTCATAGCCCTGCGGACAAATGAAGGAGAGAGGGAGAGATAAAGGAGGGGAAATGATGAGTAAACACTGTGTGAGACCGTTTTGGTCCTTGTACTGCCAATATTTTTCATTGTAAATATTTTATTTGAAAGTGTGAAATTATGACCGCTTGAGTTCTCTAAGAGGGGAACAGACCAAGTCATTCTCTTAATGTTTCAACTCTAAAACTGTTGGTTGCGCCACCAGTCCTCTCATTTCTCACCTCCACTGGTTTCCTCCTCAGGATGAAGAAGTTCTCTGCTCTCATCATCATGAAGCGCATGAATTTATGGCACAGGATCTTCTCAATCTCATCTGCCTTCAGGGACACACCAATCACACAGCAGTCAAACTCAGCACCCACCAATCACAGGCTACAGCTCTAAAAGCCACCAATCATACACCAGGTCATAAAAAACAACTAATCACAGTATACATTTCATGTCTATGCAGCCCTGTGTAGCTCAGTTGGTAGAGCATGGCGCTTGCAACGCCAGGGTTGTGGGTTCATTTCCCACGGGGGGCCAGTATGAAAATATATGCACTCACTAACTGTAAGTCGCTCTGGATAAGAGCGTCTGCTAAAATGACTAAAATTTAAATGTATGACAAACCAGCACACAATCATCCTCACAGAACAGCAAAAAAAAGTGTACAGCTGAGCTTCCATCTCTGTACTTCTGTTTGGGTAACGACAATGACGGAGGAAAAGATAGGTGTTCCCAAAATATGAATAAAGCATGAATGTCATCTAAATCAAGCCTGTCAACTGCACAGAAGGACAGTTAAACACGTTGGAATCAGTAGTCGCACTGACCTGCTTGACAGCGATGCTGACTCGGACTGAGTTGATGGAGCCCTCTATAAGAACCTTCTCCTTGTCATTACGACTGATGATGACTGGCTGCAGCAGCAACTCTTTACTGCTCCTGAGGGGGATAGCATACACGTGCAATGTCAAACACCCGGAAACACACACTATCACGCACACACAGACAGACAGACAGGGACTCACCGGACCTCCACCTCTGGCTTGTTGTGGCGCTCCACCACCTGAGAGGAGAAGTTCTCCAGACAGAGGGCGGCCTGTAGCGTGGCACGCACAGCGTTGAGGTACGGGCGCAGAGTCGCTGTCTGAGGGAGGGAGAGCGAGAGAGGAAGAGGAGAAAGAAAAGTTAGAAGATGAGAGGGAATATCTCCCTTACACTCTGCCAAATACCCCTACCACTCTTTACCTCACCACTATAACGAAGACGCCCCTTCCCTAAATCCCATTTTAAATCCAAGAGGGGGAGTGAACTAGACCGCAGCCTCTCTTACCACCAAATACCGCCTCACTCCACCCTACTATCCTCCAAAACTATTAGCTAAAAGGCCCTTACTCTTACTCCTACACCACCACCCCTCAAAAACAGAAGGCAAAAGTACTGTCAGGCATGCAGGCCTAGACCTGCAGCAAAAATTCTTGGCATACTGTGTCTTCCATAGCAATGGCTCATGGTTGGGCTTGGGCTGACAACACACAGCTCAGCAGTGCATATTTGATACTGCGGTTTCTAACAGCTCAACACTGATTTCACCATCATAGAAACTCAAACATATTAGTCAGTAAAAGTTCAAATAGGCCTAACAACCGAAATGCAAAACAATAATAATGTTGCCTGCGGAACATTAGTGAAATCACCATTAAATTGATACATCCAGGAGTCTCTCAAATGTAAAAAGAGGAAGTATATTGACCACATGAGTACAGTGCTTTCGGAAAGTATTCAGACCCCTTGACTTTTTCCACATTTTGTTACGTTACAGTCTTATTCTAAAATTGATTAAATAGTTTTTCCCCCTCAATCGACACACAATACCCCATAATGACAAAGCAAAAACTGGCTTTTAGAATTTGCACATTTATTTTAAAAAACATAAATATCACATTTACATATGTATTCAGACCCTTTATTGTACTTTGTAGAAGCACATTTGGCAGCGATTACAGCCTTGAGTCTTCTTGGGTATGATGCTACAAGCTTGGCACACCTGTATTTGGGGAGTTTCTCCCATTCTTCTCTGCAGATCCTCTCAAGCTCTGTCAGGTTGGATGGGGAGCGTCGCTGCACAGCAATTTTTAGGTCTCTCCAGAGATGTTCGATCAGGTTCAAGTTCGGGCTCTGGCTGGACTACTCAAGGACATTCAGAAACTTGTCCCGAAGCCACTCCTGTGTTGTCTTGGCTGTGGGCTTAGGGTCGTTGTCCTGTTGGAAGGTGAACCTTCGCCCCAGTCTGAGGTCCTGAGCGCTCTGGAGCAGGTTATCATCAAGGAGCTCTCTGTACTTTGCTCAGTTCAGCTTTCCCTCGATCCTGACTAGTCTCCCTGCTCTGTCAGAGTGACCATCTGGTTCTTGGTCACCTCCCTGACCAAGACCCTTCTCTCCCGATTGCTCAGTTTGGTTGGGCAGCCAGCTCTAGGAAGAGTCTTGGTGGTTCCAAACTTCTTCCATTTAAGAATGATGGAGGCCACTGTTCTTGGGGACCTTCAATGCTGCAGAAATGTGTTGGTACCCTTCCCCAGATCTGTGCCTAGACAAAATCCTGTCTCGGAGCTCTACGGACAATTCCTTCGACCTCATGGCTTGGTTTTTGCTCTGACATGCACTGTCAACTGTGGGACCTTATATAGACAGGTGTGTGCCTTTCCAAATCATGTCCAATCAATTGAATTTACCACAGGTGGATTCCAATCAAGTTGTAGAAACAGCTCAAGGATGATCAACGGAAACAGGATGCACCTGTGCTCAATTTAGAGTCTAATAGCAAAGGGTCTCTACTTAAAGTATTGTTGTTGTTTTATCAATTTGCAAACATTTCTAAAAACCTGTTTTCGCGTCGTCATTATGAGGTATTGTGTGCAGATTGATGAGGAATTTTTTTTATTTAATCCATTTTAGAATAAGGCTGTAACCTAACTAAATGTGGAAAAAGTCAAGGGGTCTGAATACTTTCCGAATGCACTGTACATATCCCTAGAATATAGCCTAGGCCTAGTTACACTGAAGGCAATCATGGCCATAAATGGGTTTGAACAATTGCACTATTAACTTCACAGTTCACCATTGCACCATAGCAATGTAATGTACACCACCTCTGTTTCACATAACGGACTAAACTCCACGGTGAAGGAAGTTTCTGATGAACTTCACCAATGGCGTGGAGCCGAGACCAGGCTTTGTGGAATCTAGCACTGACTACATCGATTTGCCCAAGGTTAATACTTCAACAACAACAAAAAATATTATGAAACGCCCATTGAATAATGCCTATAATAGATAAGGATGGTGTGTACACATTGGCTCTGGCCTAAGGCCTTACAGCAGTAGCTTGAAACAGTAGAGTGCACTGCCACTACATGCATTTTGAGGATGACTATATCTAGCTACTTCAATCCAGCCTGCATCTGATTTGGGCCGAGAAAACATTTCAAATCAAATTGTATTTGTCACATGCGCTGCATACAACAGATGTAGACCTTACCTTGATGCTTACTTATAAGCCCTTAACCAACCATGCAGTTTTTTTTTAAAGTAAGAAAATACTAAACAAAATCTAAATAAAATGTACTAAAGTAAAAAAAGTAACAAAATAAAATAACAAGGTTATATACGGGGGTACCGGTACCAAGTCAATGTGCGGGGGTACAGGTTACTTGAGGAAATTGAGGTAATATGTACATGTAGGTAGCGGTAAAGTGACTATGCATAGATAATAAACAGCGAGTAGCAGCAGTGTAAAAAAGGGGGTCAATGCAAATAGTAATTTGATTAACTGTTTAGCAGTCTTATGACTTGGGGGTAGAAGCTGTTAAGGAGCCTTTTGAACCTAGACTTGACACTCCGGTACCGCTTGCCGTGTGGTAGCAGAGAGAACAGTCTATGACCTGGCAGGCTGGAGTCTTTGACAATTTTTAGGGCCTTCCTCTGACACCGGCTGGTATAGAGGTCCTGGATGACAAGAAGCTTGGCCCCAGTGATGTACTGGGCCGTACGCACTACCCTCTGTAGCACCTTGCGTCAGATGCCAAGCAGTTACCATACCAAGCGGTGATGCAACCAGTCAGGATGCTCTCGATGGTGCATCTGTAGAACTTTTTAAGGATCTGAGGACCCATGCCAAATCATTTCAGTCTCCTGAGGGGGAATAGGTGTTGTCGTGCCCTCTTCACGACTGTCTTGGTGTGTTTGGACCATTACAGTTTGTTATTGATGTGGACACCAAGGAACTTGAAGCTCTCGACCCGCTCCACTACAGCCCAGTCGATGTGAATGGGCCGGACATTTCAGTGGGCAAGTCTTATTGCAACCCTATGCGTGTGGAGTGCAATGAAGGGAAATCTAAACTTTGGACGTACCTACTGCAAAGCAAAATAATTCAGGCAAGGTGCATAGCTAGCTAGGACAAATGAAAGCAAATGTTGAGACAGGTTCCTGCAGACCTCTTTAATACCAAGGCTGGCTGCCTGAGATTAGAGATTTCGCCTAACTAATTACCCTCTTCTACCACCTTGTGTTCGATATATTTTCAATGTGGCATGGGGATCTTTACTCATGGCATTCATTTTTTTTATTTACCAGCTTGATAGATGACGTAAAAGAGCTCCCAGCTTCACCATTACCGATAGCTAACTTGGCTAGCTAATAGTTACCAGAAAATGTATGTTTATATTTATGCATACATTTGAAAGGATACTTTAGTTTACAGTATTTGGCACTAACTGCCAAACTATCAAACTAACCTTGTATCTAGCTACATCACTAGCTAAAAACAGATTCTCTCACATTTTGGGTGGGGATGCTAACTGACGTTTGCTAAGCTTGCTAGCTACCAAACCAAATCTAGCAATAAACATACGCATTAACGCAAGCAAGGCTCAACATACTACTCATCGTATGACTGATGTTGAAATCATGTCGAAATGTCTTTATTTTCATAGCTAAAAATGATAGCTACATTCTCTTACCATTTCTCTGTATCCGCTGGGGGAAGACGGAAGTACACTTGCCAAGGCACTTCCGTGACCCTCTGCGCTCAGCGGAACATACCATGTACAAAACTTCATAGGGGAGCGTATATCGTCAAGACGAAGATTGTTCTGTACAATTAATTGTTTGAATGTAGCAGACAAACATTGAACACTTGTATTATATTTTTAAAAGCCATTGTTGGTGGTTTTCAGTATTTGGTTACATAATTTCCCAATTTAAATAGGATGAGAACATTTTGATGATATCTTTCACAAGTAGCAAAATGTTCATATAAAAGAGAATTCTGAATTATTTGGGTTCTCTCATTCTTCATATGAGAACAGTACTCAATCTAGAAATGGTTAAACTGAATGATAGTGATTTTGTCTCATTATTCTTATCAATCTAAAACGTGTCTGGCTGGTGTTTTCTTCCTTATAAGGTAAAAGGATCTCTCCACTATTTTTGCCAATAGGGGGGAAACGTACAAAGGTCTGTTTCCATAGTCTTCGTGAATCGTGGGTCTTATTGTACAATTATCTGATTCTTTATTATTAACGATTTCATTTTGTGATTCTAAAAGAGCTGCAGTGTGCAAGATTCTGCTCCAGAGCCAGATTCTGTCCCATTAGATCTTTGCATTTGTTGAGTGTGTAGGCCCCATGTGTAAATTGACTAAACTACATATGATCTTGAAAAGGATTGTACCGTTACACACTTCAATTGTGAAGACAATGTTTAACTTGGATGTTCTAAGCCCTGTTGTGTAATTAGCTCTTGATCTCAAGCCACCACTAAAGGCAGGTAATGTGAACTGACTATAAAAGGGAATGAGAGATTCTGAAGATGCTGTGTAGTAATAGTAATAGAACAATCATTGCCGCGGAAAGTAGTTTGGGGGTGGGGGGGCTGCGGCAAAAAACAAAACAAACATGGCCGAGCTACAGAAGACTATCGGTCCTCTAATACAGTACTAGTAAATGCACTACTTTTGTGACAATTTTTTTTAATTGATGAAGACTATCGGTCCTCTAATACAGTACTAGTAAATGCACTACTTTTGTGACAATTTTTTTTAATTGATGAAATAGCGTTGTGCAGCTGCCTTCGCTTCACAAGTAAGCAAGTGTGTAGTGCTGGGGGAGCGCCTCACTTTTTTCAATTTGAGAATACATGGAAAATGTATTCTGATCAATTCTAAATAAATTATATTTAATTACCACAAAAATTCCATAAAAACAATAGAATGACAAACCAAATAAATGTGTAGGCTACATGTGTGCACTGCGGAGGCCCGTTGGAGGCTTGACAAGTTAAGAACATAAGAAAGTTGAAAAAAATATCTAAATTAACGTGTCTGCGTTGATGTTCATAAATCTCCACAGACCTGCTCTTGCGCAGGGAACTCAGAACGATATGTGACCACTTGGTTACAGTGACACCATTTTGCCGAGGACACCCAAACCAGAGTGGCCACCACAAAGCCCAAGAGCCTGACCCTTTCTGGAAGTTGCTGTAACCCTGCTTGGGCCAAGTTGGAGGTAATAATGCATTTAGGTTATAGTTTATTGAGATGCATGAATACACCACACCAAAAGCTTGATTTTTATGGCTGTTTTAAAACGAAATGCCTGCAATTCTACATATTAATGATTTATGTTCACTACTTGGTCAATTGATTTGATTAAATCTATGCAAATAAATTATATGAATTGATAGTTCACCCCTCTGTTTTATTTTATTCTGTAATAAGGTACAGTGGGGAAAAAAAGTATTTAGTCAGCCACCTATTGTACAAGTTCTCCCACTTAAAAAGATGAGAGAGGCCTGTAATTTTCATCATAGGTACACGTAAACTATGACAGACAAATTGAGAGAAAAAAAATCCAGAAAATCACATTGTAGGATTTTTAATGAATTTATTTGCAAATTATGGTGGAAAATAAGTATTTGGTCAATAACAAAAGTTTCTCAATACTTTGTTATATACCCTTTGTTGGCAATGACACAGGTCAAATGTTTTCTGTAAGTCTTCACAAGGTTTTCACACACTGTTGCTGGTATTTTGGCCCTTTCCTCCATGCAGATCTCCTCTAGAGCAGTGATGTTTTGGGGCTGTCGCTGGGCAACACAGACTTTCAACTCCCTCCAAAGATTTTCTATGGGGTTGAGATCTGGAGACTGGCTAGGCCACTCTAGGACCTTGAAATGCTTCTTACGAAGCCACTCCTTCGTTGCCCGGGCGGTGTGTTTGGGATCATTGTCATGCTGAAAGACCCAGCCACGTTTCATCTTCAATGCCCTTGCTGATGGAAGGAGGTTTTCACTCAAAATCTCACGATACATGGCCCCATTCATTCTTTCCTTTACACGGATCAGTCGTCCTGGTCCCTTTGCAGAAAAACAGCCCCAAAGCATGATGTTTCCACCCCCATGCTTCACAGTAGGTATGGTGTTCTTTGGATGCAACTCAGCATTCTTTGTCCTCCAAACACGACAAGTTGAGTTTTTACCAAAAAGTTATATTTTGGTTTCATCTGACCATATGACATTCTCCAAATCCTCTTCTGGATCATCCAAATGCAGTCTAGCAAACTTCAGACGGGCCTGGACATGTACTGGCTTAAGCAGGGGGACACGTCTGGCACTGCAGGATTTGAGTCCCTGGCGGCGTAGTGTGTTACTGATGGTAGGATTTGTTACTTTGGTCCCAGCTCTCTGCAGGTCATTCACTAGGTCCCCCCGTGTGGTTCTGGGATTTTTGCTCACCGTTCTTGTGATCATTTTGACCCCACGGGGTGAGATCTTGTGTGGAGCCCCAGATCGAGGGAGATTATCAGTGGTCTTGTATGTCTTCCATTTCCTAATAATTGCTCCCACAGTTGATTTCTTCAAACCAAGCTGCTTACCTATTGCAGATTCAGTCTTCCCAGCCTGGTGCAGGTCTACAATGTTGTTTCTGGTGTCCTTTGACAGCTCTTTGGTCTTGGCCATAGTGGAGTTTGGAGTGTGACTGTTTGAGGTTGTGGACAGGTGTCTTTTATACTGATAACAAGTTCAAACAGGTGCCATTAATACAGGTAACGAGTGGAGGACAGAGGAGCCTCTTAAAGAAGAAGTTACAGGTCTGTGAGAGCCAGAAATCTTGCTTGTTTGTAGGTGACCAAATACTTATTTTCCACCATAATTTGCAAATAAATTCATAAAAAATCCTACAATGTGATTTTCTGGATTTATTTTTCTCCATTTGTCTGTCATAGTTGACGTGTACCTATAATGAAAATTACACGCCTCTCTCATCTTTTTAAGTGGGAGAACTTGCACAATTGGTGGCTGACTAAATACTTTTTTTCCCCACTGTATATTGTAACCATGTGTGCAAGCTAATCAAATCAAAGTTTACTTAGCGCTGTCCTTTTAGAACCACGAAGGGTGCTCCAATCGTTTACAATAACACTTATCAAGATCTGTTGCCTACGCCTAATAGTACTACTCATCATTTATTATTATTATTACAAATAGAAGATTATCACTTCTCACAATGGTGCTCGTTTAGTAAAGTTAGATCAAAGCTTAATCAATGTCTTGCAAGATCACATAACGATTAATTTGTATTTTACGTAACAGAACCGAATATAATAGCATAGCATAGTAGGCCTATAGGCTAATGTTAAATTTACACCAAAAACACCTCCGTTTCAAATCAAATCAAATCAAATCGTATTTGCCACATGCGCCGAATACAACAGGTGTAGACCTTACAGTGAAACGCTTACTTACAGATAAGTAAAAAAATAAAAATAATTAAAGAGCAGCAGTAAAATAAAATAACAGTAGGGAGGCTATATACAGGGGATACTGTGCGGGGGCACAGGTTAGTCGAGGTAATTGAGGTAATATGTACACTACCAGTCAAAAGTTTGGACACCCACTCATTCAAGGGTCCCCCTTCACCTTTACTACCCTCCATATTGTAGAATAATAGCGAAGACCCCAAAACCATGAAACAACACATATGGAATCATGCAGTAACCAAAAAAGTGTCAAACAAATCAAAATCCACTCCACATTTGAGATTCTTAAAATTTATATCGAGATTTTAGGATGGTTAGCTGAAGCTGAATAGGGTTTCTTTTTTTTAATCTCATGCGCCAAAACTCAACAGACCCACTAGGCAGGATATACGCTTTCAATTAAACAAAATACAAGAAAGGTTCAAAGTTTGTTAATATCATGTGCGCTAATTCACTCACAAAACAGTAATTCAAGAAGATCGAAATGCATAGGCTATTCCCATGAAACTGATTGAAATCAATCAAATGACTGGCATGCAGATGCAGTTTCACAGGTAAAACGAGAATAATTATCATTCACAATTGACAGTGATGTTGGCCTATTTTGAAATGAGGTATGCCTAACTTGTTTTAGGGTATTAAAAATATTACATTTTCTTGAGACAATATGTGTGGGCATAGGCAGATGTTGCAATTGGAGGATGCATTTTATTCATATTTTATAATAGGGCTCTCGGACCCTGTTCCTGGAGAGCTACCATCCTGTAGGTTTTCATTCCAACCCTAATCTAGAACACCTGATTCTAATAATGAGCTGTTTAATAAGATGGATCGGGTTAGTTAGAACTGGGATTGGAGTGAAACTCTACAATATGGTAACGCTCCAGGAACAGGGTTGGAGAGCCCTGTAATGATAGGCTGATTCAATAGGCTACATCTGTAGGTACAAACTTTGATTGAGGAAATGACATCATTTACATATTTTTTTGCACTACCTAACCTAAAAAAAATAGCACAACACAACTGCAAGTAAGATCTGTGGTAGGTCTGTAGCCGTGGTGTCTGTGTGCTGCATGTGTTCCCCGCTGGTTTCATCCAGATGAGCAGAAGCCAAAATGCAACTGTCCTGCGCTCATTATGAACAGGGTAATAAAGGACCTTGAATGACAGCACCATGGACAACTCTGTTCACCAGAGGCTTCATGCTGCTATTTTGATCTGCCGCTGACCACATTTTAGCCTTCTCCATTTACATTGTGTCATAGCCGACACTCGGATTAGCCTACGCTGTAATTCATTAAACTGGAATGGATTAATTTACGGCACCAGTTGCAATCCAATGTATGTAAGATTTATGCAATAAACTGATATTGGGCGCTGTAAAACATGTTTTTGCTGCGCTACAGCAGGCTATATATGTCTGCTAATACAGTACTAGTAAAGGCCCTGTGCACTACTTTCGATTTTTTTATATATCTTTTTTCAAGGGGCGCTGCAGTACCCTCAGCACCCCTTCTTCCTACAGCTATGAGAACAATCTGAAAATATGAAGCTGAACAATACAGGGAAAAACTCAAATTAAATTAGTACTACTTGTCTAATTGAAAACAATGTGCCCAACATACATAATTAAAGAATATAAGATACTTAATAGTATTGACATGGGTCTATGTATGGTAAAGACAGGCAGTGGAAGAAATTATCCTCACATTCAAATGTAACACCTTAAATAAAAAAATGCCATATGTCACAAAATGCAAAAAAGACTGTTAAGGTATTTATTTACAGAGATTGGCATTGAAGCAATTGTCACCTTTTCTGAAGAGACAATACAATTCTCATCAAATAGACCTAGTCTTTTAAACCATCGGTTTCTCAGAATTACAAATACACTTTTGCAATGTTGTCAACGACCTAGAAAATAATGAAAAGCCACAATCTGCATTTGCTGCTCATATCTGTAAGGGGAAACCTTTGGGTAAAGGGAAAAACAAATTTGTTACAATCTAACACTTTTGTAGCAGGGCATCTCTCAGACTGACAAGTGACAACATAAAACTGGGGGCGTTGCCTGTTATTCAAAGCAACACTACACTCATGGTCCCGCTGACAATACGCCACTGAGCCAATCACTGCCTTGCAGAGTATAAACATAGAAAACAAATTTTAGCCTATAAGCCATTGATGATTATGCATTGTATGCCAATGAAACAAACCATTAAAAAAAAAACTACCACAAAATAAGCTGTATAAAAATAAAAATCTCAAATAAAGTTCTGTATGCGATAGCGACTAGGCTACTTCTTTCTCGGTGACTTGGCTGGTGGCTTGTTGGCCTTCTTCGGCTTCTTGTTCTTCTGTGCAGCGTTCACCTTTTTGGCACCCAGCTTCTTCAGTTTAGCCGCGGGCTTCTTTACACCAGGTGCCTTCGGGCTGTTCTTCGCCTTTGGCTTGACTACGGTTGCCTTCTTGGTAGTCGATGCTTTGGCAGTTTTCGTGGTGGTCTTGGCTGGCTTGGACGGAGTCTTTTTCGGTACCTCTTTCGCGAACTTATCTTTATTGAGCCTGAAGGAACCGTTCGCCCCCATGCCCTTTACTTGGATCAGCGTGTTGTTGAGTACCAGCGCTCGGATGGAATACCGCAGGTAGGTTCGCCCATTCTGCTCATCGAACCAGCTCGCCTTCTTGGCTTCATTATAAATTTTTACCAAAGACGAACCGCTTCTCTCATTCAACATTTTGACAGCGTCTAGCACAAGCACACTGTACCTGCCAGGCTTATTCTTATTCTTTTTCTTCTTCTTCTTTTTGGCTGGACTAGGCCTACTTGCCACTGGAGCCTCCTCCGCGTTGATAGTCACCTCCACCTCGCTTTTCACCATGGCTTTTACTTTGAAACCAAGGTGAAGTTCTGCAATGCACTGTTATCACCGTCGGGTTTGCTATGTGTGTGGTGGGTTGGCTTGGCTATATAACAACCAAACGGACGTGATTGGGAACAACAACACAGAGTGCGGAAATGGTGTGTTGGAAGATGTGCTTTTAGATTTTTGTTTGGAGGTGATTTTATCGTAATTGGCCAAGTCATTATTTTATAACCAGCAACTTTTCTGAAGCCTAAGCGATGCATTATTTTCTGTATTGCGGTCACATCGGTCCATGTCGAAATCTCAAAGAAAACAGTGAATGAGTAGAGGGCACTCCACACTCGCAGCACCAAATAGGAGGGGGGAACCCACTTCAGGAGCAAAATACTTGAAAACGGTCAATTATTTGACAAAATACTAATTGCAAACCAACAGTGTAGAGTATGGCCATTCCAAATTGATCAATGCTATCCCGATTAAATGAAATACCACTGCAACACAAAACGTTTAATTCATGTAAACTAACACAGCAAACGCCCTCGCGTGGCAGCCTATTGACAAATCGAGATGTATGCCCTATCATCACGCGCGGCACCAATACTATTAATTGACCCTGATTATAATAATAGCCATTCCTAACAAATCTAGTTAATGCACATAATTAGGCGAAATTGTTTAAGGATACATGTGGTTCCAATCATATAACTTGTTGAGTAGCATTAGGGAGAATGTATCCATTAAATAAATAATTATAGCCCTATAAGATACGGTAGGGATGACTGGGGATTTTAAAATAATACTGTTTAAAACAAGCTATCTGCAATACTCCTCCCGGAATTCTCTCTGTTACATCTATTTTACTTTTAATTTGAGTAACAAAATGGAGACAGCTAAGCAGTCTTCAAGTTAATCAAATAAAACGGGCTCCCTATGTAATGCCATGACATTTTATCCCATCAACCTTTGAATGCAACCACTCACCAACACTTATAAAACACATGGCAATAAGACAACCATAAACGATGTTTATATTCAATAACCTTTTTATTATTACTTTTGAAATCCCAATACTTACTTTCAACAACTTCATTGGCATAACACTGATTATTTTTGTTAAGGAGGGCAAATCCTTGGACTGTTTCTTTGTAATTTATAGAAAGATCATCCAATTGTGTTTCATCTGATATTTTTTTTACACTGTCCCTGTTATATCTACACACAAGAGTAGCACACAATCTGTTAAAAAGTAATATTATGCACTCTTGCCATCCTGAGCTACCAGCAGAGAGAGAGAGATACAGTAGAGACAATACAGACATAACAGCGGACAGAGCTGTAATTCTAGTTTTGAAACAAGATGGTTGACGAAGGACATACAGCACATAGTAGTATCAGTAGTTCTAGTAGTATTAAGTAGCAAATAGTATTAATATCTTAAGAACTTTCTCCATGTCTTTCATTGTGTTTGTGTGGTCAGCTTTTCTCGTCATTGCCTACTTATGGCTTCCTGGGGGTAGTAGAGAATTATGGTGGGAGCAGTATTGTTGTTTGTGGCTTGTCGTCGGTCTAGCTGACGTTGCTCAAATCAGTGTTTAACATTTAAAGCCCCCCCAAAAATGTTTTTCTGTAAAACAACAAAGTGCAAAAACAGTATAAGCTTCCGATGGCTTAAAACTTAACATCGACAGCCAATAAGAACAAAAATAACGTATAATTCAGCTGATTATTTGTCAAGAGTTAGGTAGGCAATATAGAACTTCAAGTCAAAACAAATTCCTGATAAACAGAAAATACAGAGGATAAGATGTCTCAGGACAATGACACAAAGATATCATAATCATGTAAAAAAGCATCAGCCATCACTTCTAGAGTTCCCCACTGCACTCTTAGGACATGGCTCCACCTGGTCCCCACAATTTGAGAGGCCAAGAGGGGACACAGTCAGACAGACATGGTGGGTGGGCCAGGTTGTGGGTTCACTCATGATATGGATTCAGGAACAGGCAGGCAGGGGTGTACTAATTCTTCTCTCATGTGATCTTTGGGCATTGGTATGTGTGTTAGAGGTGCATGTGAGGAGCTATACACCCATCGTGTGTGTAACTGGGAACTTAGTGTGATTCTGGTGGGAGGGGGATGTGACATGGGTGCAGAGACCAGAGATGCAGTCCTTTCCCTAAGGGGGAGCAGGTGAGGAGAGAGGAGGGTGTTCCAGAAAGCCAGACAGAAGATAGTCCTTGTTCCCCCTCAGCAGCTGCAGGCCTCTGCTGAAGTCTTTGCTCTGTCATTCCTGTCTAGCTTGATGGGCTCCGGGAATTCATTATACAGCTCCACCTCAGTCTCCTGATAAGAAGAAAAGAGATGGAATGAGGATGAGAAGATGGCAAAACCGGAATCTAAGTTTTGCTCTTCTACTTTTTGGGAGGAGTACTTAAGTACTACTCCCCCCAAAAAAGGTCAACAAAACCAAAAACCCAAAACACCCATTCCCTCCCCTGGGCTGCCATGACAACCGTGGCCCACCCACCTGTTTGAGGGCGTTGCGTGCAATGGTCTGGAAGGCCTGCTCTACGTTGATTGCCTCCTTGGCACTGGTCTCAAAGTAGGGGATGTTGTTCTTACTCTGACACCATGCCTGAGCCCGCTTGGTCGTCACCTGGGTGTGGATGGAAAGACATTCACAAACATCAGATGAGATCAATGAGGAGACCAGCAGGGTTGGGCTCAATTCCGATTGAGGGCAGTCAATTCAGTAAGAAAACTGAAATTCCAATTCAATGATTGAAAAAGGGGCATCTATTTTTTATGACTTCGAAACACATACATTAGATAATAACCTGTAACTAAGAAATTATTAATCATATGTATTGAAACTCCACTGGAGATGACATTAGCAACAGTAGCATTAGGGCCAGTGACTGTAGTACTAGAGGTGATACATTAGCATCTTTAATAACCAAGTAGCATTAGGTCCAGTAACTTACATTAGATGTTTTAACACCTATAATAATCTCTTTCACCTACCTGTCTGTTCTCCAGGTCGATCTTGTTGCCTAGCACCACAAAGGGGAAGTTCTCAGGGTCTCTGGGGCTGGCCTGGATGAGGAACTCGTCTCTCCAGCTGTCTAGAGTCTTGAAGGTGTTGGGGGCAGTTACGTCAAACACCAGCACACAGCAGTCTGCCCCGCGGTAGAACGCCACGCCCAGAGACTGGAACCTCTCTTGCCCTGCAGTGTCCCAGATCTGATCATGAGGACGTGTAGAGGGAGCGACGAAAGGAAGAGTGGAGGGAGGGAAACGGTGACAGAAGGCAAGAGGATGAACTATTGTTGGGCAACATGTTTTCTTCTGAACTAAGATCTTAAACTAATCACACTCACTGTGTCATGTAATCAGCCATGTTTGGTTGCCACTTCATGAAGTTAGCATCAGTGCTACCAAAATAGTACTTTATAATCAACTGTTAATCAAATCATGCTGATAACCCATTGGTGTGACAAGTTGTTTGCCTTTCCTTAGTATGTAAATCACAGACCGTATGTCAGACTTCCTTAAAATCTATTATAATATTGTCGTTAAGGAACTTTGGGTCGTCTTCATTTGGGCAATAGCAATTCAGTAAAGTGACTTTCTTGTGCCAGGTTTCCCGTTTCCTGTTATAAAAACACCCATTTGGGTCTGTAGTCATTTCTGTAGACTTAAATGGGACTTTTTTTATCAATGAGAATTGATACTCCTCTGGATCTTGAGGAGTAGGTGGAGGAGAATGTCAACCCATCCCAAGCTCGCCTAAACCTTTCACTTTCTATTGCTGATAGGTGAGTTTATTATTTTTCAAATAAGAAAATACCTTAATTATCCATTGACATTCCATGTCACACATGTTAATGCATTCATATGTTAAGTATTACATTTTTCACAGCCTACATTTTAGTCATTTAGCAGACACTCTTATTCATAGCGACTTACAGTTAGTGAGTGCATACATTTTCCATACTGGCCCCCCGTGGGAATCGAACCCACAACCCTGGCGTTGCAAGCGCCATGCTCTACCACATTGACTCCATACATTATGTTAGGTGTTGAAACACTAAATAAAACAGCTACAATGGAAATAGCACTTATCAATCCTCAGGCTTCTTAGTGGGCATGTATTCACAAAATAAAACAAATCCCTCATGTTCCTCTTTCACCTCCCCTTTGATGCTTCCCGCATGAATCTGTCCTGTACTGTTGCACAGGTGAGAGAGCGACCTTATTGGTGCATCCATAGCAGTCATTCCCTTTAATGCAGGTTATTGGTCAATGACAACTTGTCGGTCCTTGTCACGGATGGGCTTTTGCAGCAGACGACCACACAGGGTTCCACTCCTATCAACTAAAAACAAGAAGCAGCAGCTCCAGTGGGCATGCGCTCACCAACAATGGACATTTGAGGAGTGGAAAAACATTGCCTGGTCTGACGAATCCCAGTTCCTGTTGCGTCATGCTGATGGCAGAGTCAGGATTTGGCATAAGCAGCATGAGTCCATGGCCCCATCCTGCCTGGTGTCAACGGTACATGCTGGTGGTGGTGGTGTAAAGGTGTAGGGAATGTTTTCCTGGCACAAGTTAGGTCCTTTGATACCAACTGAGCAATGTTTCCATGCCCCGAAGAATTCAGGCTGTTCTGGAGGCAAAGGGGGGTCTGACCCAGTACCAGATGGACGTGCCTAATAAAACTGGCCACGTGATAATGGAGAAATTGATATAGGAATTGAAAAATGTGTTAATAAAGTGGGAAACATGATATAATCACGTGCAGATTATCCAACTAGGCCTAAATATAAAATAAATGAGTCAGTATTTGTAATCTCCGACAATAGAAGGTCTGGGTCGCTGCATGTTCAGCTTCCACACCCATTCCCAACCACTGGAGAGTGAGTGTCAATACTGTGTGTCCATGTTAGTCAACTAGTATAATTAGAGTTTTTGAAGTAAATATAGTGACTATTATTAAGGAGTCCTGTCTAGGGCTGGTTCTGCCTTCTGAGATACATGATACACTTCTAAAGTATACATTGATCATTTGTCCTGGCCAGCTTGATAAGCCTACCCTCTTGTTTAGTTTTTTTAAGCCAAGTGAAAGGAATAGGTTATCCCTCCTAGAACAAGAGAAAGACAACATAAAAAGCACTTACCCTCACTGTGTTAATTGAGAATAAAATGAATTTGATTATTTAGGCATCATTATAGTATATTAAAATATACATTTGTTCAACTCTCCATATAATTCTCCAATGAAATAAATACAAACAGATACAGGCCCATAACCACTAGAGTATCCTACAGTTCCGTTGTACTGCACGCAACAACATGTGGGGAGCACTCGTTTTGACCCACCGGGGGACAGAGCGGGTGGATCACTAAGAGCAGGGTGGTATAATGACTTGTAACATTAAATCAACATCCGTGCCCGAGCCAAAGCGAGTGCGTCCATTTATTCACTTGATTTTTCAGAATTGATCTGCTACATGTTCAGTTGGCCTAACTACATTTCTTGTACATTCCACTTTAGGATTTAGTTAATTAATTCATTTCGATATGATTGTCCAACAAAGAGCTGGAAATAATAATTGAAAAGGTGCATAATTGTGGGCTTTGAGCACAGCCTGTTTGTTTGTCTCCCTCTTTTATAAAGAAAGGATAATCCACTCGTGATGATACCATGTTGCCCACTTTAATAACACATTTTTCAATTAATATCAATTTCTCCGGTATCATGCCTTAATTTATCTTTGTCCCTATAGTTAAGGAACTTTGCGATGATGCCCCTTGGTTTGCTGCGCGTGTCCCCTCTCAGGCCGCCTGTTCGAGGTGCTCGTTCAATTGTGGAAGCCCGTGTGAAGTTCTCCTGGCCCAGTATTTGTGGTATTAGCTTTTCCAGGAATTCGTCCATTCCGGTTCCACAGCTTTCAGGGAAATTTACAAAATTAAGATTTGAAGAGCGACTCAAGTCCTCTATCCCGTTTAATCTTTCAGTAAGACCTGTAATTATGTATTTTTGTTCATCCACTGTTTTCTGGAGCTTTTCTCGTGCAATTCTTTCCATTGTTAAACCGGTTTCGGCCCCCACCACGCGTTTGCCCAGTATTTAAAAGGGATATTTTAGTAAAGAAAGGGAATTCCAAACAGATCGCCTTACCTCACGGTCGCCATTCTGGAAATCCAAGCCTAGACTTCTCCTGTCCTTATAATATTGTAAATTCAGCTGTTTGGCACTTCTGATCTCTTCTGATGGGTCTTCTCGGCCTGAAAATGTCTGTTGTGCTCCTATGTTATACTGTTTATATGGTGTCAGCTAGGCTGTGCGGTTGATATGGTGACGTTATGAATGGATATTGTGGCTGTGATGGTGGTGCTGTGGCCATGTTGCTGTACCTGCATTGTGACGAGCCGATCGTCCACCATCACCTCCTTGGTCAGGAAGTCAGCTCCTATTGTGGCTTTGTACTGGTTACTGAACTTCCTATTCACATACTGGTTCATCAAGGAGGTCTTCCCAACTCTGAGAGGGAGAGAAAGATGAAGGGGGGGAAAAGCAGGGGAGAGTGGTGTAAAAGATAGATTAATAGCGGTTATTCAACATGACTGCATTATTCCATCTATCTATCTATTCAGTCCTAATGGTGAAAGAGAAACCATGACCGATGGCTCGAGACAAAATCAATGAGGAACAGAGAGACACCAGACACCATTAAAACCCCATCAGAGGTGCTCTGGTGCACTCTACTGTGGTCACACGCTCTGTAGTTTTCCCCTGCAGTGCTGAGCATGCAGTGACATAATCTGATGCTACTGTATCATCATTACATAGTGTGAAAGAGAGAGGAGGGGGAGGATAAGTTAAATAAAAAGTAAACAGTCATAAATCAAATGGATACATACAGTGCCTTTAGAAAGTATTCACACCCCTCGACTTTTTCAAAATGTTGTTGCGTTACAGCCTGAATTTAAAATAGATAAAACTGATATTTTTTTGTCACTGGCCTATACACAATACCCCATAATGTCAAAGTGTTTTTTTTACAAATTAATTAAAAATGAAAAGCTGAAATGTCTTGAGTCAAGAAGTATTCAACCCCTTTGTTATGGCAAGCCTAAATAAGTTCAGGAGTAAAAATGTGCTTAACAAGTCACATAATAAGTTGCATGTTGCATTCTGACTACCTCAGCTCTGTACCCCACACATACAATTATCTGTAAGGTCCTTCAGTCGAGCAGTGAATTTCAAACACAGATTCAACCACAAAGACCAGGGAAATGTTCCAATGCCTCTCAAAAGGGAACCTACTGGTAGATGAAAAAAAAAGAAAAAAGAAAAAAGCAGACACTGAATATCCCTTTGAGCATGGTTAAGTTATTAATTACACTTTGGATGGTGTATCAATACACCCAGTCACTACAAAGATACAGACGTCCTTCCTAACTCAGTTGCCGGAGAGGAAGGAAACCGCTCAGGGATTTTACCATGAGGCCGATGGTGACTTTAAAACAGTTAAGAGTTTAATGGCTATGATAGGAGAAAACTGAGGATGGATCAACAACATTGTAGTCCACAATACTAACCTAATTGACAGAGTGAAAAGAAGGATGCCTGTACAGAAGAAAAAGATTCCAAAACATGCATCCTGTCTGCAATAAGGCACTAAAGTAACACTGCAAAAAATGTGGCAAAGCAATTAACTTTATGTCCTCAATACAAAGTGTTACATTTGGGGCAAATCCAACACAACACATTACCAAGTACCACTTTCCATATTTTCAAGCATAGTTGTGGCTGCATCATGTTATGGGTATGCTTGTAATCATCAAGGACTGGGGAGTTTCAGGATAAAAAAGAAACGGAATGGAGCAAAGCACAGGCAAAATCCTAGATGAAAACCTGGTTGTCTGCTTTCCAACAGACACTGGGAGACAAATCCACCTTTCAGCAGGACAATAGCCTAAAACACAAGGCCAAATCTACACTGGAGTTGCTTACCAAGAAGACAGTGATTGTTCCTAATTGGCAGAGTTACCGTTTTGACTTAAATCTGCTTGAAAATCTCTGAAAATGGCAAGAACTGAAAATTATTGTCTAGCAATGATATCAACAACCAATTTGACAGAACTTGAATTTTGAAAAGAATAAAATGGGCAAATGTTGCACAATCCAGGTGTGGACAGCTCTTAGGGAACGATGCACAGCTGTAATCGCTGTCAAAGGTGATTCTAACATGTATATATATATATATATATATATATATATATATATTTTTTTTTTTTTTTTGTTGTTGCTTAAGCCAGTTCATGTCCAGG